AGGGAACCGATTAGTGGAGTGAGAAAGCAAATGTTAAATTTTCAAGTTTTCTAGTACAGCTATATGTACGTATGCTTTCTAATAAGACACTGACAATTTAGTAAATTATTATTATTATTATTAAAAAAACAATTCAATAAATTATGACATCTCATTATCTAATAAAGTAAATAATATAAGTTTGCTTAAATTAGCATTTATTAATATATAAGTTTTAATTTAAAATTAAGATAAAAAATTCAAACTTTTGAAATGTACTTAACAAATATTTAATTAAAGCCAGCTCATCATCAATATCTAACTTTAATGGAGAAAGAAATAGAACATTAACATTTTTGTTGCTAATATTTTTTTCTTATTTAACCTTGAAGAGACCATTAAAATGACATGTGTTTCACATGAACTTGTAAATACTAACTCTCCATTTAGTATGGTTGTGTTTTTTTGATTTTTTGTTTTAGTTTTCTAAAATTTAAAAATCATAGAATAAATTAACAACTTTTATAAATTAATTAAATTTTTAGTATTAGGTATTGGTGGGTACAAGTTTTATAAATTAATTTTGGTTTTGAACTAATCATTTTGATTGTTTAAATCTTGGCAAATGGAATCATAAATCAAACACTACAACCATACTAATCGTGGCTTCTTACAACCATGTTCATTTGAAAGAGCAATTTTAGATTCTTTTGGGAGAGTTCGGTTAATGGAATATAAAAGAACCTGATAAAATCAAAATCATGAAATGGGTCCTGAAGGATTAAAAAGAAACAAGAAAAAAGAAAAGGGGAAAAACCTTCTTAGTTATAAAACATTCCATGTTCCATTGATAGATAGTAAATTAATATACAAGCCTTTTAATGATTGTGTAAAACATTCAACGCTCAATATTGAGTCCTTACTTTATATGGATGGACGCATTAGGAAAGGTAAAAGAACTACTTTGATGTAGAATACATTCCAGTTATTCTCATTCAAAGATAACTTCTAGTTCTCTATTAATTGTTTTCCTTGGGATTTCGACACTTGCTGTCTGCACACCATCTCCATGGCCAAAGGGATTTGGTGGCACTGTCAAACTGTCGACTTCTACTTCCAACATTTGAACCACGGTTTTCATTGATGGACGGTCTGTTGGGTACCATTGAATGCACCAAAGCCCAACAATTGTAAGTTTTCTTGCTATCTTGGCGTGCCCCTCAGAATCTATTCGAATCCCAAACTCTTCTCCTTTGTCCAGGCAATTATACACCCATTCTGGGAAGTAAACTTGGCTTGTACTCTCTACTGTGACATCAATATTCTTCCTCCCTCCTACCATTTCCAACAATAGCATTCCAAAACTATAAACATCTGATTTATAGGATGGTTTTCCAAAGTTCCGAGACAATACCTCAGGTGCAATATACCCTATTGTTCCTCTGGCTGCTGTTATAGAAACAGCACTTTGTTCCTTGGAACATAGCTTTGCTAGACCAAAGTTGGAGATCTTGGGATTGAAGTTACGGTCTAGCAAGATATTGTGAGGCTTTATGTCAAAATGAAGGATTTGTTGGTCGCAACCTTGGTGCAAGTACTCAATTCCTTTGGCTATTCCCATGGCAATATCTTGAAGCTTCTCCCAACTGAGGGAACGATCTTTATCTTTAGCTACAAATATGAACTTCTCTAAGGACTCGTTCGGCATGTACTCATAAACAAGAGCCCTTTTATTTGCATCTGCACAAAACCCAATCAAGCGGGTAACATTGACATGGTGGATTCTACACATTGATCCCACTTCGTTAATGAACTCTTCCGCAGTCGCTCTGAAATTGTTGAGTACCTTAACAGCAACCAAAACATCATTGGAAAGTCTCCCTTTGAAAACTGTTCCATAGGCCCCTTCTCCAAGTTTGTCCTTGAACTGATCTGTTATTCTCTTGATATCAGCATAAGAATATCTAGAGGGTTTGAGAGCTTTGTAATCCTCCAAAAAATTTTCAATCTTGAGTTGGCCCTCTTTCTCTGCTTTATATGAATGGTGAACGCGGTAAAGTGCAAAGAGAATTATTCCAAGAAGACAGGAACCTGGGATTATTCCTGTAGCCAACAATTTCTTCGGTCTATCTGTAAAAGATTCGAAAGTAAGATTCTTGATATGTTCTTCAAATCTATTACAATCTGATATGACAAAACCCAGGTATTGGAGTTTTGGCCAATCGCCAGGGATGTAAAATTTTAAACTAGATGTTCTCAGAATCAAAATTAAGAACAAGCATTTAACGCAACAAAACAAGCAAAGGCTAGGAAGACAAATGAACTCACAGAGCATTGATGGCATTCATAACATATGAAATTGTTAAAACTTAAAAGCATACCTCTTTGTTTCTTGGATCGACCATAACACTCTGTCTCATCCTCTGTAATACTATCATTTTTCTTCAGTCTGCATTTCCTGCCTTCCACTTCACATATATTACAGTTTGGTTTGGACCAACTCAAATGAACATCCTTTCCCCGGTTAAGCAACATATCTTTAAACACTTCTGTTACCGATATGGTTAATGATATTCTGGTACAATTTAACAAACTAACAGCACCATAATTTGAAGGAAAAGCTAGAACTTGGTATCCTGCGTTGCTTAAGCAAGGAATTTCGAAATCTTCATCTCTATCTGTCATTTGTCCTTCCCCTACACATTTGAAAATAGTGTATTCTTGAGGATGGATGTTAAGGCCGAATGTATATCTGTTGTCCTCCTGGAAGGGAGATGCAGATAAATTATTGGGAAACTGTCGTGCGAGGCATCCATAGGGATCGTATAGATGAATCCTTTGTGCTCTGTAATCTATACGCTTCACGAAAAACCTCACACCTTGCGACAACTCTAGCACAGTTTGATTTTCCTCTGTGCAGGATAGTTCAAATCCAGGATAGCTGCAGTTTTTCGGTTGTTGCTGCCCCTTAAGTCGGAATGGGAATCGGATGGTATGGTGATTGCACTTTTTGGGTTGGCATTCATCTCTGGCAGCATGGAGCTCTGGAACCCTCACTATCAAGATAAGGCAAAAAAGCAAAAGAATCATCCTAAAGAAACTTTCCATCCCCGAAGTCTTTGAATCCAAGATTCAGTGTGACTTAGGATACAATTATCAGAACGGGGAGAAGAATGCTGTGTACCTTATACAATGAGCATGAGGTTTTGGAAGGTGCAGGGAGGATTCGCGGACTTTTGATTTTTCAAAGTAGGAATTCCTTTGTCATTAATTCTTCTATGAAATTTCTGCTATGGCACAAATATTCTTCACTTCACACGAGGATTGACGCGTGGGTTGGGGTTGGAGCCCCACCCCACACTTGTAATACCGTCCCCTCCCCATCCCCAATTACTGTAGTTCAAACAAAAAACAAAACTGCGTAGACTGTGGGGTAGGCGCACGGCAACGTGATGGAAACTACTTCAGAGCTTCTATTTAGAAATTTAGCTGTGTTGTGTGTTTCCAGTTGATTATTGGCCCGCTAAATTAAGTTTCATGGAAGCTGCAAATTGGGCAACAACTATGCGAAGAAAATTCTAGGCTTTCTTTTTCCATGGAAGTTAAAACGACATGTTAGGTGAATCTACTATTCCAATCCTTTTAAAAATCGAAGTCAGCCAAAGCAGCTGTGTACTCTGCAGCAACTTGAAGGCCTTTTTATGTAGTCAATCCATCAGTTTAGGTAATATGGATTCTAGGTGTTTGCTTTATTGCCTTTGAGAGCCACCCAGTTTGCACTGGGTGCTATCTTCTTCTTCTTCTTCTTCCTTTTTTGTGGGGAGCGTAACTGGGTCGTATCTGTTATCATCAGAGTTTTTCCTATATTTCCTTAAGAAAACCACATGCTCTAATACTCTAGCTTCAGGATGTTAGTTAGAGCAAAAGTTGTGGTACTGTTCGGCCTCATGGCCCTTGCTTCGCTTCCTGATGCTTGTATTGCTGATATTTGCGCCCCTTCTTCTTGTGGAAACCTTAGTATACGTTACCCTCTCCGATTACCCAGTGATCCCAAGGAGTGTGGTATATCATGGATGAACTTGTTTGCAAGAACAACCGCACCACTTTGCCCCCCGAACCTAGTACATACCGAAATTTCTCCGTGGAGGGAATCTCTTATAAGAATACCACACTACGACTGGTGGATCCCAGTCTCGATAGGAATAAGTGTTCTATTCCCTACTACCTTCTTCTTAAATTTCCATGTCGGTTGTCTTCGCCTGATCATTTTAGCTCTATAACTGATAATAACATCATGTATGTTCTAGATTGCTTTATGCCGATGAGCTCACCACTCTACGTGGATGCCTCTAGTTGCACCAATAGCTCTTCCTCTGCATACACCTACTTTTTTCTTTTCAATGATAGCCAAACAAAGCTTTCGGATTTCAATGAATCATGCAGAATTGAAGCTCAGTTTCCAGTCAAGCTATCCAATATCTCAGGCCTCTCTGCTTCTGATATTTACCTTCAAATGCTTAAGGGCTTTGAACTAAAATGGAATTGGTTCGACTACAATCAAGGGTGTGGTAGTAAACTTAAATGGAGGGAGATTCTTGGACAGAGGTAAGTATTCAAGAACTTCTGAACATCTTTACTATGCATTAGGGAGCTACAGCCGACCTGCGGTTAGTAAATCTTAATTGTTATTTTTTCTGAAGTACTTTTAATTAAATTTTATATATGATATCGTAATTAACTTTTTAATAAGAGCATGCTCACAGTATTATTCTGCCTGCTTGAAGTCTCAGAAATGATGATTTGTGAGTTCCATTTTTTTGATGTCCTAAGCAAACAGAATTATAATCTAGCAATAGAAATCTTGAATTTCCAATTTCTATTGAAGGCTAATAAGGTTATCCATGTCATAGGACAGCTTACCATCACCTATGGTATATGAAATTTGAATAGAAATGTCCTGTATCTATTAGAAGCTGCTAATAAGACTATCAGTGGGACTCTAATAAAGAAGGTTGGAACATTAGGTAGGTGCAAATGTCTCGTGAAAAATGAAAGAAAATGTAACTACTTAAATCCATTATTGAAAAACAAAAGATGATTATCACCCTAAAAATATGGACATTCTTTTTTCAAAGGAAATCAGGGAATTATTGAGTTTTTTCCTTTTTTTTTTTTAGTATATCTTATTATGAGTTATATAAGAGAAAGTAACCCTCCTCTATTCTCAAATTCCTCTAAACTTGACTCAATATTCGAATAAGAGATTTTCAACTTGAAATCTTAAATTTTTAATTATTGAACCACTTCCTTGGGATGGATTTATTGAGTTTCTTATAACTGTGAAGATTAAAGAAATAAATACAAAAGAGTTATCAAGTTGAGAATATATAGCATATCAAACAATCAATATTAATTAACAAACCAACAATTAACTAGCAACTTAATGTGTTGTTGATTAGGTCCACTGTTCAAATCTTGAGGCTGGTACTCATGAAATCTAATTAGCAACTTAGTGTGCTGTTGATTAGGTCCACCAAATTGGTGTGGGTAGTCTACCTTTAAAATCACTCGAAAAGGAATTAGTCTCAAACACCCTAACTATCAAAGAAAAAAAAAATGCAACCTAATTATTTACATGATACAGCCTTTCACGGTCCATACTATTGTAAACAAAAAAAATGGGGGGAGGGGGGAGAACACAATAGCCACTTATCCTTGAGCACTCGACTTACCATATAATCATATAATGTCACTTCCATATATCTCTATATAAATTTTGCACTGGCATTCCATTTATAAGGTATTAGATTTACATGTAAACTATGAAATCTGGATAGTATTTTAATATTCATACTTAAGCAACTCCTCTCTCCATTATGCATGCTTCAATGTGCTCAATAGAAATTAAAACTCTGGGCATGACATCCACTTTTTTAACCATCCAATCAAAATCCATTTAACAGCTTGGTTTTATATAACGATGCATAAAAAGGATCTCTGAGACCACATTTTGTTTTTAACCTTTTAGATGATATTAAGCTTGCATTTAAAGATTTGGCTATTGACCAAGGATTTAATAAAAATAATAAAAACAACACATACTATTCAAGAGCAAGAAAAGATGAAATAGTGACTTTGTCTACCAACAGTAAGCTTGGCTTGAACATTCTGTGACATAGACATATCGGATATATATATATAGTATTCAAAATCTTGAAAGAAATCACTAAAATTGTGAAAAACAAATAGCATAAGGAAAAGAGTAACTTAATTACCGACCTCAAAATCTGTAGAGAAACAAAGGAAGTCAGATTCAAATTAGTTTTTCGAGTCGCTGCAGTTTTCTCATTTGAAAAGGGAATTGTTGGTGTGAGAGAAGTGAGGAGAAATAAACCTTGAGAGAATTTACTTTGGCTTTATATGCAACAATCATGTAATAAAAGGGACTTAAATGGCATGAAAGTTACTCTAAGGGACGTATTTGGGACGGAAGTTTAGTACGTGGAGGCTTGATTAGAAAACTAAAAAACTTAATTGAGGGGGCAATACTAGGATTACTCCTATGAAGCAAACCTTGTTTTTGAACATCTTTACCAAAACGTTAAATCGGTTTGATGTTCTTCAAATCCTCTTCATTCTTTTATCCATTGCCTTACCATCTACTAATGCATATCTCTTCATGCTTATCTTGTCCTGAATGTATATTTCAGGAAGTACGCTGTGGGAGATGCGCTCTACAATTTTGTGCATTTAATTCAAGGTGACATTTATTATTTTTACAATAAAGGTATGCTTTTCTAATTCAATCTTTACTGGGAATTAATACTAATTACTTAGTACCATATGTTTATGTGCTTACATAGTTTTGTAATTTCATTATTCTAATATATAGGTCTTGATGACATATTTCTCGAAGCAGCAGGTAAGTCTTAATTTTATATATTCAAAAACAATTAAAAAAAAAAAGAACTGTGCTTTGTGGGTAATAGTAATATATAACTTTGTGATGTGATCCTGTACCTAATTTTTTGTGATAAGGTGGACTTATTTTGGCAAGAGCTTTGCTGGGGCTATCCATGTTGATTACAATTATTTTGTACAAGTTCCGCAAGAGACATTTGTCTGCAGATGATACAATTGAAAAGTTCCTTCAAAAACAGAACAATTTCATGCCTATTAAGTACTCATATTCTGAAATAAAGAAAATGACTAGAGGTTTTAAGGACAAATTAGGTGAAGGAGGTTATGGTTTGGTTTTCAAAGGAAAGCTTCAAAGTGGCAATTTAGTGGCAGTAAAATTATTGAGCAAATCAAAAGCTAATGGCCAAGATTTCATCAATGAAGTTGCTACCATTGGAAGAGTTCATCATGTTAATGTGTTGCTACTGATCGGATTTTGCGTGGAGGGATCTAAACAAGCTCTTGTGTATGATTTCATGCCAAATGGATCCTTGGATAAAATCATATTTTCCAACGAAAATAGCACATCTTTAACTTGGCAAAGAACGTTTGAAATTGCTCTT